TCAAACCAGACATCTCCTCAGCCTTCCTGCCCTTCAGTGGATATTCTTCCCTGCACCTCTGTGGTCTCCTCTAAAGCCCTGTAAACCCCATCTTCATGTACACATCCTCTGGCAAGCAATTAATAGCTTAATTACGTTCTGTGTGCAGAACCACCTCTTATTTGAAACTGCCTCCTGCCAGCTTTACAGCTGCTACACACCAGCCTTGCACTGGCCACCGCAGATTTCCCTCTGCCCCTTTGATCCGCCACCACTCAAGGCTCTGGTTCAGTCCTGGGGCACTGCAAAGGGCTGAGGATGGAGCCCATGCGATGTGACCGTGCTGGTAGGAGGGTGAACTCCAATCAGCAGCAAAATCCCTCGCAGAAGACAAAAAGCAACTTGTGGAGTCATCATTTGCAACCCCAGACGTGGTTGAAATTCCTGGGATTCCTTGAGAGTCACGAAGATCTTAAGCGTGGGGGACAGAGGGATTTGGCCAACCTCTTTTCAGTGGTTTGTGGGGACAGGACGAGGGGCAATGGCCACAAGATGGAGCCCAGGAAGTTCCACACCAAGATGTGAAAAGAACTTCACAGTGAGGGTGACGGAGCACTGGGACAGGCTGCCCAGGGAGGTTGTGGAGTCTCCTTCTCTGGAGATATTCAAGATCTGTCTGGATGCCTACGTGGGCAGCCTGCTCTAGGGAACCTGCTTTGGCAGGGGGGGGGTGGACTCAATGATCTCTTGAGGTCCCTTCCAACCCCTTTAATTCTGTGGTTCTGTTCACATTATATTAGAGACAAATCATAAATGCAATCAAAAGCAAGCTAAATTCATCAGGACTGCTCAGTAAAGCAAATATTAGAATATTCATACAGTATTCTAAAATAAATAGACATTAAGGGCAATATTTATGCAAGTTTCTTAAAAAAAATTAGTTCCAATTAGCGTTGACCTACATCAAATTGTAGGTCCTTTTAGCTGTTCTACCAGTGCACCCTTCCTAATTCTCCAGATTATCTGTTATAACCAGGATGATAGACTGACTCCACATACCATAACGCAGGAATGGTTGCGTCTTTATTTGTTTTAACAGCACCAAATGGAGCCTCATTACTGATTATGACTTTTGGAATACCACCAAGAGGTCCGTTATCTAAGTTTTGTTGCATTCAGCTGCCAACAGCAAAGTTTAATTTCCAAGACAAAAACTGTTTCCACAGCTTGCAAATGGCAGGTTCTGTAATTATCTTCAACACTGAGATTTGCGCTAATATTTAAATTAAGAATTACGGCTCTACTCCTCCTGATTATATTTTTTGTCCTTAGTTAGATTTTGCTTTTGAAGTGCAATTAATATACATTAATTACTTGGAAGCGGATGAAATCAAGTGTGCACTCTGCAGCTTCATGCAGTTGTGTCCTAACAGGAGAACTCTGTGCCTTTCCCAAAAACTTGCTGACTTCACTGCAACGCTGCTCAGCATTAAGCAAAGTGCTTACACTGAATGTTGAGCATACCAACGTATGTATAATCAATACCTGAAATTCTTTGTTGTGACACCGAAAAATGAAGCAAGTGTGATCCGCAGACAGTTCAAGCATTAGATACTTGTGTATGCAGCCAAACGTGTACATTCGCAATGGGCAAAATGCTAATTCTAGGTTCGTGCTCTACTGTCTGCAGTATCTCAGGTAATTTATTCCTTCTACCCAAAATTAAATAAGAAATGGTCCCAGCAGTTCCTCTCCTCTCACTAGAAGGCTTTAGTATTACTCACCAGCACGTATAGGGAAAGAGATGACTAACACCTTGTCCTAAAGCTTGTGAAGTACTGATGGCCGCTATTTGCTATCAACTAATGTCAAAGACTTTAAGAGAGGACGTTTATAAAGAATAGGAGTGCAATTGGCTAGATGCAGGTTCAAGACATGCAATGCTGGTTGATGCACACATCCTTGAAGAAAAATATGCATCTGTAGTCTGTGTACATCGCTGAAACAAACACACACCCCTATGAAAGAAATAGTGTGCCTTCAAAATGATGTTCTCAAACCTTAGGCAACATTATAATATTAAATATTATAATAATATTATTATGAATAATAGTATTATGATTTTATAGATAGACAGATAGATAGATGTATAAATAATAACTGCTGGCTGTGCAACAACTTGAACGTGCTTCCACGAGGATAGTGCATAAGCACATGAAGAACACACTTCTTTACCATACCTTTCTTCAAAGACAACACAGACTCAGGGCAGCAGCTTCTGGGTATTTTTACTTTGGGGTGAGGGGAGGTAGGTCAGACTTTAAGTGGCACAAACACTTGGTTTTCACAGCTTCTGTCACCACTGACAGCACTTACGGGTAGGTGCAAGAGAAGCCATAAGTAAACAGGAACTATATACACACGTTTGGATTTAAATTATTTGTTCAGAAAGTGTATGATGCTGCTTGGCATCACATGGGAAAAAGCAGAGCCAGTTCTCGTTTCTCGTTCCTTTAGCTGACACTTTATTTGCTCCTTTCTTTTACATTCAGCAAAACCCAGCCTTAGGGAACTGGTTGAATCCCTGAGCAGTGTTACCACATGCACTAACCAAATAGGATCTCTGTATGGAAAGAGTGACCTCAAATTATCAAACTGCATATGCAGAAGGAGCTCTTATTTTGTTTAGGTAAACTTGTTTCACGTTATATCTTAATTCCTGAATATTTTGACTGTAACCTTAGCATCATTCAAGGTATTATGGATATTGACAGTTTACATGGCTGCAAAAACCAAGAGAGATACTTCACAGAAGAAAAATCCATGAAGGCCTATTAAAGAGAAGAACCAGCACCCCTGGCTCTCTCTGACCTTCAAATCATTGAAGACTCTAAGAAGTACTCTGGGGAAGGCATCACTACGCTTTGCATTGTTCTTTTACTCTTCTCAAGACTTCCCGGCCACCACTGAGGACAAGATCCTGGGTACATGAACTCTGGTTTGAACCTGTATCACGTTGTCTCCCTCCATATGGTATGAAGCATGGCAATGCTGGTCCAATGATAAATGTTAATTCAAATATTCTACGTAATACTGGTGATCTATAACTATCGTTCATATCAATACTTATCAATTGTAAGTCATTCAAAATGCAAAAGCAAAGCAAAACAGAATTTAAAAAACACCAATGTCAAGCAACAATACGCACACGTGCCTACAACAACAACAAAAAAAACAGCAGAGAAATGCAATATAAATATTAAAATTCTGACTCACTTCAGAAGTTAAACTCTTAAAATCTGCTTAAAATGTGACATCCCACAGCAATGAGTCTCATTGTTCAAGGGGTATAAAAATACTGATCTCTAGAAAGTAGCCCTTCATCACCTTAAAGTCACATCACTATTGCCAGATAATCAGAGGGAACAGGCTTTAACAATGGGGAAAACGGCAAGCTAGAAACATACCTTGGATTCAGTAGGAGGATACAGATATAACATTTCTAAAACTAGTCATACATCTTTTGATATGCTTAAGCCACTACAATAAAAAGCATCTCAATGTTAAAAAAGAATTCCTTCCAAAAAAAAAGACAAAAGTATACACTTTTGGCAGCAGCTGAAGCTGAAATGTAGTTCAAATAAAAGTCAAATATATGGAAAAAAAAAAGAAAAACAAAGAAATGAAAAAAGAACACGGAAGAAACAATCATCTCCATATTCCAGTGTATAAAAAAATACATTCCAGAAGACATTTTGAAAGGCCACTAGCATTAGACTTATATTTAGGAAGTGCTTTTAAGAAGGACAGGGTTGTAAGACTATTTCTAGTCCATCTGCTGTCTCTGCCATTACTACTTCCAAGTGCCAGTACTATCTAATCTGCATGCATCCTGGGTAATCCTTCTGCTAACAAGCCTGAAATCTGTCTATGTGTTTTACATTAGCTGTGTCTAGTTTCCCAGGATCACAGGCTCTTGCTTACCCTGGCACTTATTCGTGCTAGTACATTAGTGATATTTTTGAAACATCTTTCATAAAAGCAAAAAGGGGAATTTTTATTAAATGCTGCTTGACACCAAGATTCTGGTACTGTCATGTAATACCTGGCAATTTCAGTAATGTAAGCCCAAAGGATTTAGCAGAAGAGATAGGAGCAGCCTAGGATCTAACAGCCCCAAGAGAGCTCTGCTTGAGTTGCTGGGGAATTGCACTTGCACCTACCTGTCTCATTCTAAGATACCTCATGGAGCTGTCTCCTTCCTCCTCTCTGTAAAAGAAGCCTGCTCAGGCTAGCTTAGACCTGAAATGAAATCTTAACACTCCTGAGCCTGCCTGATATCTTATCTCCTAGAAGCACGGTGACCATTTCATTAAAAAAATACTTCTTTGAACTGTGCAAAGAACCATTTTTACTAGAGCAATTGCAGTTTGGGAAGCAGCCTTAGAAGTACTAACTGCATTTAAGACATTGTTAGACTGACTAACATGCGACTGGTAGGTGACACAAGTGAACTACAACTTTTTCTTTCACTCTTTCCAAGGAATTTATAATTTTTTTGCAAGCAGTAGACAATTTGAATAAAGCACAATACTAGAACAGTATTTTTCTGACTGATTAGCCTATGCAATTAAAACCAGCTAACAAAGATTTGGAAATCGGCTACAAACTTTCCAACCAAGAGGAAAGAAACCAAACTAATCTGTGAGTCAACGAACATAAAAAATAGATGAGAAACACCAAATAAAAATCTATAATGACATTCTAAAGAACATTACATTTCTAATGCTCTCCTTCATAATTCTATTTTTTCCATTAAAATCAAAAATATTAATAATTTAAGCTTCTGGTTACAGCATACAGTTTATTAAGTTGTTTGTCAATTTTATGACACTCTGCCCTAGAAATATAACAAAAATAACCATTTTTTTTTTAAGCTACCAATTTCTTGGAAAGTAAAACTGAAAAGCTGCAGCTATAAGTCATCACTTTAGTGTTTCAGAGAAAGTGTTCGCACTCACCAGCACTGCCGCTTTCAGATTTTTCATCTGATTGGCCTTCTGGAAAAAAAGAAAAAAAAAAACAACAAATGAGCAAAAAAGGAAATATAACGTTTCTGCATTGATTATTTGAAATTACAACTAAAAAGTGGGCTGCAAAGCAAAGAAGGATAAAAACCACACTTACTAGGTTTGATTAATGTTTATAGATGTGCTTTTTGAAGAAAAAATTACCACACAGAGCAACAAAAAGTCCCCTTTAGTACCCAAACTCATGACTTAAATGGGATAAACTCCATTACACCTCTGATTGAGCTCTGCACAAACGAAGTTACACAGCTATAGATCAGTTGTGGGATTATGCTTAAGTAATAAACCACGGCCATTTATCTTACCAGTCTCTGTAGACAAATAAATATCATTTTTGTGTATTTAAAACAAAACCAAAGTTCTGCAAAAGAACATGTTTGTCACTAGACCAATTTTGAACATGGGCAACCTCCTCTCTAGCTTTTCTGCAGCTTTCTAGATCACACAAGGATATATTTTTTTTCCAGTCTTCTTACCTTCTCATCACTGGCCCGCAGCTGGTACTAGAGCCTGACTTGTCAGATAAAAATATATCGATTAAAAATCAGAAACGCATCCTATTCCATAGAGAATGAAAGTATGCGTGAAAGAAAAAAGACACGTGTTGCAAAGTGGCTTGCCATAAAACTTATTGCTCAGGTGAATAGCAGAGTGAAAATCAGGAACAGCTTCCACATTAAATTTCAGTCCAGCCTTTCAGGAGACAGCAGCCAATGGATGTATTTTGGTAAACCAAGTTCTAACACCTACAAAGTCCTATGAAGATAAACTCCTACATAAATTCCTCAACCTCAAGTTCAACTGCTTCTCCTATTATTTGTTCTTTTTGCACCTCCTCTACGGCAGAGAACAAGAAGAACATTTTTACTTATCTGCAATACAGTTAAAAATGGTAAAATATACTTGTCTTTTGCTTCCAACTCAGCCGTGTCACAGCTATCATTATGGACAATTTACTCACAGGCGAGGAGGACTTACTGCTATAATCCAGAGAGAAATTTGTGAGTTGTTAGTTTGATCATTTCTGCCATTTACAGGCTGGGTATTAACAGAACTTGAAAACATGAAATGTTTTACAAAACCTTTTTCATGCCACTGGTTCTTGCTGGCTTTCATGGTTGACGGCCCTATTTTCTCATTGAAAAGGCTGACAGCCAGGGGACTGATGCAAATAGAAGGATCTGAGAGATGCTGCTTTTCTCTGCCCGAGCAGAGGCTGTTGTGAAGTCCTAGCAGCTGAAGGCATACATCTTCTCACTCAGAAAATGTCTGTATGTGGCCTCTTCCCACCCATAAGCATTCACTAAGTGAGTTATAAACCCTGGTAACATCCCAGACATACACGTAGGACAGCCTGTTTGAAGAAAAGCATCTATTTTTTCACTGACTGACTTTTTTGAGTGTATTTGGCATATTTATGCAGCATAATGTTATTACCCACCCAATATTCTAACTCAGTTTTAATTTAGTTGTGGAAACATTCACAACCTACCTAACAAGCAAAAAGAAGAACAGGCAAACACACTGAGACATCAGCCCTTAACTGGGCTGAGATAGTTTTCAAATTCAGATACTGCTTCTGTTTCTTTTTAATTTTGTTTTAATGAAAGACTTGCCACCTCACCGTAACTCCTGCATAAGAAGCCATCACACTTAAAAATTGTTAATTGCATCTCCAATTCAAATAACAATAAATGTGTACTATGTCTACAAGAGGAGTGAGCGTGCCTGCCTGCATGCAGCAGGTGAATTTGCCTTTAACAGAGACAAACAATAAATAAATATTCAACCTTGCAAAAAAATTGCCCTTTTTTCCTCATCATCAGATGATTTGTTTTTGTTATGATTGGGTCACGTGTCTCTGCTTTACAAATCTTCTGAGTACAAATAGTACAAAGAAGATAAGGGCAGCTGTACCATGTCTACTTCATATATTATTCCATATACTCTTTGCATTATATCCTCGAAACGTTTATATTTGTACGAGAATTAACAGTCTATAGTTTTAGTAGTAAAAATGAAAAGAAAATTAGCTTACTCCTGACAACCAGCTGAAGCCACTTTACATTCATTTTCTAATCCTCACAATGCTGGTAAGCAAGTACCATTTCCATTTTTCAGAGAGGGAGAAGAAAGATGCTCTAAGTGTCACTGTTGTTTATTAACAGACAATGTGTCACAATAATACCTATGAAATCTTGACCCATCAAGCTGCTGTCTGTAATGAGACTAGTCCAAGTCACATATTCTGGTTTTCTGATGATGGGTTGCATCCTCCCCGTGATCCTCACAGATATTTTGAAATTTGCATAAATGCCAGAGAGCTGAAAGGCAGCGGCTGTTTGTATTTCTTTTGATCTTAGGCTTGCCAAGAGGCTTTCCTCTCTTGCTGTTACCTGACTACTCTCCAGCCAGCCCATAAAAGATTGAAGTACATAAATGAAGAAGGAGGCATCAAGTAAGACTGCAAAGCACTTTGGAGCCTGGAATATGTGTTAAGTGACAGCCCAAATAAATAGAGGAGATCAGAAAGTGCTGCTGAGGTACATGGGTACGTGCTGAAACGCCTGACCAGGCAGAACTAAGGCAGCGGATGAGGGCATTTACTTCCCAAATAACAGTTAGATGAAAATGTGAAGAGTCAAACATGCATCTAATAAGACTGGAAGTCGTATCGCAAGACATCAAGATTCTGAGTACTATAGAAATAATTAAATGTAATTACAGCAGTAATTGCTTTAATGAAAGAAAGAAACACCTTTCCCAGATTGTTATTAGCCATTGCTCCCCTTAACATCTCTTTAAATGGCTAGATACATCTGCTTTCAAAACTCCAACTCTGAATAATTATTTTCACTGGAATACAATGGCTCACTGTAAGCCATGCAGTAGGCATGATTCATGTATCAGCCCAAAAAGGGGACTTTCACATTAGTGGTTGTGTTAAAACAAAACAAACAAGAAGAGAATACTGGAAGGCAGTGGGAATCCAGGAGCTGGTATTCAGGCAGACTCATCTGTATTATTGAACCGCGTTACAAAAAAAACAGTTGCACTTCATGAAATGAGATTCTGAAAGAAGAGAAGGAAGACACCGAAAACTGGACACGAATGTCACGTTACGAGCCAGCGATCTTCTGCGAGGCATGAAACAGCGAAACGGCCCATGCACGACTGCTTCTCGGAAAGAACCAAAGGTCTGCCTGTCATTCTGCCACTTCACGGATTTCTCTGAACACATTTTACTCGAACAGCAGCGAGCTGGGGCAAGTAGGAAGGAATTGAACATCGCTAAAATAAGCATCAAGGCAATCCCACTTACGAAGGGGGAGTTGCGAATATATATTCAAAACTTCAATAAAATGAGTCATCTCACCCAACTTCACAGAAATATCTTAACGCTATTTTTTCCTGCAGCATGAAATCTTTCTATCCATCCATCAGTCCTTTACAGGAGGGATGCAATCGCCTGCCAAGGTCTGTGTTTTCCCATGGCACATTAGTAACACGTTTCCCCCAAAAAACAACTGAGTACGAAACTTTTCTCACCGTCTGTAACGTAGCTGTGTTTTTTTATTTGTATTGAGAGCCAGGAAGTCTGAACTACCTGCTGACAGAAAAATAAGCAAGAGGCAATTAAAGCAGTTAAGGGAATAAATTTATAGCCCCAATCTGAAAAGTTTGCTGTTAAATGTTTAACAAAAGCATGTTCTCGTTTCTTCAACCAGGACAGAAACTGTCAAATCACAGCACTTCCTCATGCCAGGGGGAGTGCCAGTAGGAAGCTCAGAAAAACACTTTTTATCCAGCATATCCCACATCAAGTTCATGATCTGCCCCTACATAGTTCTTAGCCATACACAGAAGGAAAATTCGTTTTGTTCGATACAGAACACTGAAATATATGCAAAATGCTCTCCTCTCCTCCCGCCCAAAAAATTACAACTGTGATAGCTGATGACAAAGATAAGCTAAAATGCCTGGAAGCACAAATAGCATTGTTGCATAGCAACTGTTGATGTACATATGGTGATGTTTATGGAACAGAATGTAGTTCATAGCTAATGCAAAAATAATACCGAAATCAGCCTAGACGGCAAGACCTAGACAGCGAGAGGCAACCGTGCTTCGGGTCCCTCTGCAGTCACCAGGGAAGCCACACTTCCCACTAGCTGTGCTGAACTGATTGCCAGGAACACCGCTGCAGGTCTCGGTGATCTGCCCGGCAATGAGGACTCCGACGTCTCGCAGATGCAAACAGCACTGCAAAGGAGCTGGGGAGAGAAAACGAGGCTTCGGAAGATCAGCCGAGGATCATTTCTGGGAAATGAGCATCTGCTCCTAACCTGGACCAACACAACTGCGATGTAACCACTCCTCACAGCTGTCCGGGCAGCAGCTGAACGTGTTATTTTGCAACCAGTATTTTTGAATGCATATTGCTAATTCTCTGTAATTCACTAGAGCTGTTTCAAAATACACAAACAGCAAAAGAAAAGAAACAAAGAGAAAAAAACGGAGTTAGTTTACACAGAAAGCATGCCGTGTGTGAAAGCAGAGACCAGCTTTTCAGCAGTATCTGGGATGGGATCCACTTTATCCAACTTTGTATTAGCTGGTACAAGCAGTAGAAGACCAAGGAACTGCAATTCATTAGATTTTGGACGTAACAAATGGCACCTCAGAAGAGCCTGTTTCCATCCATTAACTAATTGGGGACTGCCAAGGCTGCAGAGATTTACAATGCAAGAACAAATTTCTTCCAACTGCAACAGGTATTAGAACCAATTGCGATTCAGACAAAACAAAAACCACAGGAGACCCACTCAGCAATCTGGAAATCACACCATGCAGAAAATACTAAATTACTTGTTAAGTTTCATCTCTTTTGCTTGCTCTAAGTGGCTGGATAAGTCAACGTGAAGTGCTGAACTGGCCAGATGGGTGAACTCCCTGCAGCATCCTCTCTGATTACCAAAGATTTCAGAAGCAAACTTTGGCACCTCTCATTCATTTTCTGAATCAGAAAAATCAGAGTACCTCAAGTTGGAAGGGAACCACAAGGATCATCAAGTCCAACCCCTGGCTCCAAGCAGGAATACCCATAATCAGGCCATGGGTCTGAGAACGTTGTCCAAACACTTCCTGAACTCCAGCAGGCTCGGTGCCGTGACCACTGCCCTGAGAAGCCTGTCCCGGTGCCCGACCACCCTCTGGGTGAAGATGGTCACTACATAAGCATATCAGGATAGCAGACATAAAAGATCTTAGGGCTTTTAATGTGAACCAGAAAAAAAAACAAAACCCTCTTTATAAAAGAAATCAAACTGTTACATGAATTCCCTCTGTTTTAGGAGGGAATCTTGAGCTCAGTCCTCAAGAAAGGTACTGACTGAGCGCAACAGTGCACAAAGCACTTTTTTGTCCATATTTCACCCCCATTATTCATCAAATACATCCTTCCAGATACATCATCAGAAATGCCACCTGCAGTTCTATACCAGCTGAATCTTTGAACCATGGTTCAAGCTGGCATATCATATCTGTAACACAGCACACTTTGCAAAATACAAAGCAGCAAGATCACCAGTGCTTTCCACAAAAATATGCTAGTTATAACTTGAGAACAAGCATTGGTCTGTGAGAATAGGAATTAATGCCTTTCAGTTTCTTAGGACTGCCTCTTACTGTGGGTTGACTGACGTGCAAAGAGGGATAAGCTTTTACTGAGCCTTTTTCCCATGGCTGATACAACTTTAAGAGTTCTTTTCCATGTGGACTTTCTGGCATCAAATAGTTTAGCAGCCCTTCTTTTGGGCAGTATATCCATGCGTTTGTTCCGCTCTTCAGACACCTGTTCTCACACTGCTGAAATTGGCCACGGAGCTCAAACCATATTGGAGATTCACATTCCAAGACAAGAGTGGCTGCAGGAACACAGTGTCTGAAAGCAACCAGGCTGCGATTCGGGATATATTTGTCACGTTTGTTTTTACAAACAAAATCAAGAAAGAAAAGTACACTAATGTTTATTTTTGATTGTACTGGCAATAGCAGCTTTAACACAACAGCAACACAGTTTAACTTGGTTTCCTGAAAACTCACTAATTGCATGCCATGCTTGCTAAACTCAAGCAAAAACAACTTTGACAGGTTCTGTGCTTATTCAGTGCTTCACTCCAAATATTTCTCACTTCAGTAAATTCCCTTTGCCCCTGATTAATATTATAACTTCTACTCCACTCACTAGGTCAATGGTCCTTGAATAACATCTTGGAGTTGCTAAGAAATGCCAAACTTTTAATTGATTAGATAAAAAAAGGATAGCTTCTAAGTACCTAAAGGCTTCAAGACACTGGCATTACAGATAGTGAAACAGAAATAAAAGGGCATCTTCTGGCTACCACAGTCCAATGACTTCCATTATAACTGATGGCAAATATTCCATATTCAAGTTAAGCTGCAGTTATTGCAGACGTTCAAGTTACCCCAAGAGGTTCTGGAAGCAGTATTTTGTATTAAAAAGTATTTGGAAAACAAAATCCCACGAGATAGCAAACATGCAAAAATCTCGGAATGCAAATTCTAAACACATCTTCACACCTGAAGTAGCTCTCTTCTTTCAAGCGTTCTGAGGTCAGGGCACAGAGAAACAAACAAACAAAAAAAACACGAGGCACAACTGAGATGCTTACATGGTTCATGAAAACTTGTCCCCCTATCTCTTTCCACATCTATAATCTACAGAATATAAAAACCAATATTTACGTGTTGCATGTTATGCACATGAAAATACAATCTTTCTTTTTTTTAAGTGAAAAAACGATTAAAAGATTAAATTAGTTTCAGAGAAAGGGATAGCAACTGAAAAGTGCCTGAGTCGTAGTGTTAAGAGCTTAAATTTCCAGCCCAACGGTGACAGTCGAGCTCCTTATACCTTATTACCAGCCATTAAATCTGTAAAATAGATTTTAAAAAGGAGGTGGTCAAACTTACTGAGTATTCTAACTCTGTCCTGTGAGTTATGATTCTGCACCCTCCTTTATTTGATAAAGCATCACACTGCCATCATAGCAATTACCTGCCAGCCTATGAACGTGAAAACATCAGAAGCTGTAGAGTTTGCTGCCCCACAGAAGGCAGAAGTATTAAAAATTATTGTTTGTCTGCTGGGGAAACCAAAACCTAAGTACCTGAAAGGGAGACAGTAAGATGAGATCTGCAGACATCTTACTTTCCTTCTCTCTCTTCAACATCCAAAACATGACCATGTAATTTCAGCTGAAAACCCTACAACACGTGGGACTTGCATGCAAGCCGGTCTGCTGAGCATATTGTACACTGTAACACTGCCACATACCTTAAATCTAACATGCAATTTAGGACATGTTACCTCAAACATCCTAACTGCTCATTCAGCTCCTGAGCTTTACTTAAGGCAGGCCAACCAACTGGAATCCAGTGAGAAAAATGGTAACCTTACTTCTGCAGTGTTTGGTAATAGGGCCTTGTTAAGATTTAATACGCTTAAACCACAGTTAGATTCTAAGAAAACGTGGTGAACAGATGTGTTTGCTAAAATGGACCTGATCAACTGGGCAGAGGTAGAACCATCATTTTTATAAATCTAAATTCAAGGTAGAGATCAAGGGGAAAACGTGTTCCCATGTGCTTTTGAGGTAAAACAACGCAAGAACACTTTTTCCAGTGAAAACTCGAGAAGGGAACGCACAACATACTGCACTCTGTGTTCTGTTCAGCAGACCCACAGGTGAAATGTACGAGATAACAAAACAAAAAAAACAGTGATACATATGCAGATTACTACAAAACAAAGCCAAAATTTATTCGGAGTCTTCTGGCCTTTTCAGCACCCAGTTTATTGAAATCAGGTACGCTAGGACTGTAACAAATTCTGACCTACCTGCTGAACTTTCGGTGAACACCGTTAAGGTCTGTCCTCCCACGCTTTGCAGAAGAAAAGGATGTTCCCTTGGTGCACTGACAGAGGCAGGTTTTCCTCCAATATCATTGATGCTGGCAAGTTCTTCATTCAGAGTAAATGACACCTAACAGTCACAATGACCACAGTGTTACTAAACAGACTCAGTGACACAGCTCTAAGAGTTATGGGGAAACAGAAAGAGAGAAAAGACAAGTAGTATAGAACATTTCTACTTCAAAAACATTTCCAAAAAAGAGTGGGTAAGAATCTTAACACATTGACTGCATTTTGAAATAAAGCATTCAAAGCTTTAATGTATTTAATAGAATTTACTCATCTTTTAAGTATATTATTTTCTCTTGCAGTCAGAGAATAATTTGATCTTCCTTATTAAAATGGAAGGCATAATAGGCTTCCAGGCATCATTCAGTGATTTAAACAGTTTCACACAGCCAGCTTAGCCGCCAAGAAAAGCGCTAGGGCACCACAAGTGTTATTAGCCTGGGAACTCCAATTCCAGCTCCCCTGCCATATTTACATAGCAATGCCCATAAAGGAACTCGCTGAATGCCCAGTGCCAGGCACAGCAAGAATCCTACAGAGGGACTCATTGCTTGGTCCAAAGTTTCTTCCAGTTCAAAGTGACAGACCTAGGTGATCTTTTAAGCAATTCTAACTAACACTCCTTTTCTCCTGGATATCTCCTGGACCACACAAAAATCAGACCACATGTCTGAGAGAGCTGGCCAAACACTTCTTGAACTCCAGCAGGCTCGGTGCTGTGAGCGCTTGGACCCTGTTCCGACTGCCTGACCACCATAAAGAACCTTTTCCTAACCTCCAACCTGAACCCCCCTTGAAAGAGAAGTCCCACAATAAACTTATGGGCATAGCTAGGAACAGAATTCTCTACTCCCAACTCACTGGTACAACGCTTAATTACAGGTGTAACAAAAAATACACGATATTAGAACCCAGAAAGCTCTAAACAATTGTTAGAAATCAAAAGATAACACATCCACAGCCTTTGGATGTGGTAGTTACTTACTTCTGTTCTTCCTTGATTTCTGCAAAAGAAAATATTTAATGTTTTAGTTTCCAAGATCTACTTCCACAAGTTTAGCTTCCCTGATCAAAATGCAAAAAGCAAATTCTGGTTTTGTTACTCATCTTCACTCCTGAACTGCTCAATTTTTTTTTTGGATGCTGATGCCCAAGGATAAGTGGGAGAAGTCAGCAGGTGAGAACAGAAGTAGCAAAACAGCATAAATTAAAGGAGATTCTCCAGTTAGATGTGCATATTTCTTCGGTTTAAGAAATCAGACGTCACACAATGGCACAGTGCCACTCCCCCAGTATAATTTCATGTATTTAGGTAATGATAACACTACACAGGCAGGTATTTTCCAGTTTACAGAGAAATATGCACATGGTGTTTGTGAGAAACAGGATTATGTAATATAAAAGGTGCAACCTTATCTATTTTACTGCTGATGGCTTCTTCTATGTGCAATGTCAACAGTCTAAAAATTGCAACCAGGAAAGGTACAGTAAAGGCTTACTTGGAAATCCTTAGTTTTCCCACTTCACCTCTTCCTGATGCTTTACTCCATTGTTGTGACAAGTATTTCGGGACCTAAAACAAGATGACAGATTTCAGGAAAAGCAGATTTTAAAGTTCTATATAAGTTATGTATACACACATACTTTAAATGTTTTCTCACTGACCGCTCCAGAATATGGTATGATTTAAACATCGTAGGCAATATATTCCAGTAGGGAGAGTAAAAAGAATCACAGAATGGCTTGGACTGGAAGGGACTGTAGTTCCAATGCTCCCTGCCATGGGCAGGGACACCTCTCACCAGCCCAGGTTGCCCAAAGCCCCATCCAGCCTGGCCTTGAGCACCTCCAGGGATGGGGCAGCCACAGCTTCTCTGGGCAGCCTGTGCCAGGGCCTCACCACCCTCTGAGGGAAGAATTTCCTCCTAACATCTAATCCAAGTCTCCTCTCTTTTAGTTTAAAGCCATCCCTCCTTGTCCTATCACTCCACTCCCTGACAAAGAGTCCCTCCCCAACAATGCAGCGTAAAAATAAGGCCAGTGTACAGTATGTTTGTCCAAATGAGGGAAAAACTGGACTATCATGAATCTCAAATACTATTATGCAATCATAAAAAGCCAAAAAGATCAGCATTGTGTTCTTAAATGAAGGAGTCTCAGTAATCCTACCAGATAAGACTATACTTTTAAATACTCACTAGAAAGTCTCATCTCTTTGGGAAAAAAACACCACCACCACAACTATGAGGACTGTGAGAAGACAGGCAGCTCAGAGACCAAAAGGTGCTGCAGAAGAGGAGGTTTAGAGTTTGGGAGCCACATGGATCCCTTCAATTACAAAGCTTTTGGTATCCGCAGCCTCAGGCAGCCTAGGCTCTTGGTGGGCAGCAAGGTGCCTCAGGGCACAAGTAATGAACTGACAAGCTGAAGGCTGGCTTTCTCCTTTTCCTACCGCAGTGTGAGCTGAAATCACAGCCTGCCTTGCTGCTCCCTGGCCATAAAAGACCAGCTCAGTACTGCGGGGTAAGCCAGGCTCTGAAACCCGGCGCTTCCACGGCCAGCCTCGTGCCTCGCTGCAGCTGGTGTCCATCCACCCACGCTCCTCAGCCTCCCACACGCATCCCAGCAGGCAGGGCTGTGCCTCTGCAGCAGCGCCTCGTTTTTCTGAGGATGAGGATGCCAGGACAACGCACCCAGCACTCGGCAGCCTTACCGGGTTCTTCTCACAGAGCAGACGAGCTTGAGGCAGATGAATAACATTTATTCTGTGAGATCAGAAGGTTAAGTGTTTGTGCCAACATCCTCCATCTCTGTTTAGCAAAAAGCTAAGCGCTGATTAGAGGAGTGCACATTTCCACAGGACTTCAGAAGATGTCACAGCCTCGCCCTGGTGAGCAGCTCCCCACCCAGCCCCTGCATTTGGTGCCTTCAGCCCCCGGCCAGTTCAGCCCCAGGGGCACGAGGAGCTTCCTTGATTCCATCAAGAGATGGAACACAGACCCGAGACAGCAAGGGAAATCATATCCCACTGTTTGCAGCTATCTGTAAGATGTTCAAGTGATATGAGAACTATGTATTTCTTTTCTAAAGGAATTAGCTGAAAGCAGCCTAACAGAAGTTCCTACTTCCCAGAAGCCCTTCCTCTCTGCTCAGGATGTAGCAGTCACTGCAAGGATGTACCTCAAAGACTCAAAATAGTAAATTGTCAAAGCAGAAATCCCTCTACTGTTCCAATACAACGTACCAAAAAAGTATTCCAACACCAGAATTTAATAACTTCCTTCTTAACTTGCTCATGACAAACCTGGACAAATTCACATTCTTTAATTTCGCAGTCCTGGCTTAGTTCACATTCCTGGTACCACAAAGCTCACGCAGTCCTCAGCTACTCAAAAAATCCGTGCCCATGTCGAAAAACGTTGTGAGGAGCAGCCACTGAGAAAGAGAAACGTACCACATGCTGCCCTTGGTATGTTTCAGGCACCAAGTTGGTTCTCTGCAGCCTGATTTTTGTCTTGCAGAGAACAGAAGTAAGCAAAGTTTTACTCCACACTGAGGAAGCGAAATCTACCCCAGGAACTCGCTGACAAACAGTAGCCTGCAAAGTTCCCAAAGCTCTGACTAATTTAATAACAACCTTGCATTTATCCTGCATCCTTCCTTAAATCAAAACAAGCAAACAAACCCCACAGAAAACATCTTAGTACTGGGGCTTAACACTTGCCTTCAGTCTCACAGCACCCCGATAACTGGGGAATACCTAGGAAAGCCTCATGCCCTCCAACCATTCAGCCAAACAATGTCAATCCAGGCTGGCACTGGGTCAAACCCGTCACAAATGCGTGACAAAGCAATGAATGGGCACACTGTACTGATATATTTTTTCATAGTTTTTGAAGTGGTGACTTTCTACAGCAGATTTCATGCCGAATCAGGCCTCATTTTCTCTCTAAAGACAAGATAAATGCTGTGACACGTGCTCTGGCTGACTCAATGGCAATATTATGATGTGCTCGCACCTCATTTCTGTCTAATTTATACTGCCAGGTGATAAGGCAGACACACATTATCACTGGAGAAGGACTGAAGGATTCTGCTGCCATTAGCGTCACTGACTTGCCACATAATAGGATCAGACAGGGAATTTATTCAGGCTGGGAGGCTGCAGATCAATCCCGCTCCTTTCAGCTGCCTCAAAGAGTGCAATTAATCATTACCTTTCTGCCAGCCCATCGGGATTCAATGGCTACACAGAGAAAAAGAAGAAAAGGGGTTATGAAGGGCTGAGATCAAAGGATTATTTCTATCTGCTTGTGGTTACTTCAGTTCAAATGAGATGGCACTCTCAAAACCATCAAAATGGTCTCAGAAATTGCTAGCTCCATGCTAATGGTGTAAGCAACCACAGGAGAGGTAAGGAATGTCTTACACGCTACAGAAGTCTTAACTGGCCAGTTTCTTTTAAGTTTAGCATGATACAAGTGTAACTTACTGACAACAGGCAGCTTTCACAACCTTTAAAATGATGTACAGAAAATGTAACAATGTACAACATCTGAAAATAAATGTACAGAAAATGGGAGCAGCCATTCTGTTTTATACAGAACAAAAAGAAATTTCAAAGAATCCTAAACAGGAGTTGGAAAAACACGGAGTCGTGGAATGACTGACGTGGGGACAGAGGAACTGCCTTCTGACAGAGCACTTGAAATCTTGTAGGCAAGTGGCCTTTATTCTGGGGTTCTAGATAAAAACTGTCTCCAAAAAAACATACAAGATAACAACAAAAATAAATCTGTCATACTAAGTAACACCATTTCAAGACCTCTTACAACTGCTGTTCTCTTCCTGCTGCTCACCTCACAGGAATACCAGGGATCCGGCACACAAGGAGCCCTGCAGGTGCTGTACAACAAAAGGGCCCCTGAATCACAGAATTTCTAGGTTGGAAGAGACCTCAAGATCATTCAGTCTAACCTCTGACCTAACGCTAACAGTCCCCACTAAACCATATCCCTAAGCTCTACAAACATCACTGCTCCACACATCTTCTCTCAGCTTTTTCTCAACTGCTTGGCTACCTTTGGAACAAAACACAGAAGCAGCCCCCACCTTTAATAAAATCCTGCCTATGTTCTGCATTCGATGAAGTTATCTAGTTATCTGCATGCTGCATGTATCAGAAATCAAGTAAGGCTGATCTCAAGACCTGTGGTTCTGTTTTCTTTTGACCATATAAACAAGAAGTTAAAGCTCTCATCCTTTAAAATATAAATAAATACAGCAGATTAAATTAAAACAAATAAAAATAAACACATCACAGAGGGAGCAAGCAATTAACAACTCTAATAGCTAATACTAAATGGGCTTCGCTTTGCTACCAATGCATACCCAACAGTTCTCATGATGCTCTCAGCTTTCCCTAAAAACACAAAACAAAGTTATCGAAGTTGCCTTCTGGTTTTGTACTAAAGCAGCCCACTGTGTTTCTTGTGTCTCGTGCTTCTAAAATACTCATGACCGCATTTTTTATTGCCTGTTAAGTAGTCTCTTTGGAATACCTTCTGTGCCAGCATAATACATGCTAAAGGGTGATTAAATAAGCTTTTTTTCCCCCCTCCTCCAACAGAGTTGATTGCTCTCCCCCTGAAAGCAAGGCTAAAGTCAGCCTCGTTATCCCACCTAGCGAGGGCAGCAAGTACTGGTGCTACATGCTGCCACCACTCTGCATGTTGAAGATCCCAGTAACAAGTCTGGTTGTCTCCAAGTTCAGGTCCAAAGGGATTTAAAGGATAAAATCCTGCACGCACCTTGCTTTGGTCTAGCAAAGTTTGCTGCATTTCAGTGTTCCTTTTAGTTCACTTTTCTCATTAAAGCAGGCAGCAGCCCATGCTCACAGAGCCGTGTCAACTGCAAGCTCTGATGTGCCTGAGAGCTCCCGCCTTGCTGCAGGAACCAGCGAACCACAGCAGACTGAAGGTCAGCCCAGTTCAGCATCCTCTCCCCACACGTGGCCAGCAGCAGGTGCTTCAGGAATAGCAGAAGATGACAAGAATAGGAATGTTCCACAGCATGTGGGAATTAGAATGCTTTCTGTGATCTTTGACTCAGTGGTCTTGAAGCAGGGGAGCACCTTCACTTTTAATATCTCAATACATTATTCTGGAACAAGTTTGTCTAATGTCAATCACACCTTCCTACTGCAAAAAGCTCCAAAACTTAAATATTGTGCAAAACAGTACCTGCTTTGTCTGTTCTTCATGCCCACCACATGAATTTTCTCACCCCTCATTCTTGCTGTATTACCGATTCTTACCTACTCATCTTCTCCTATGCATGTTTCTCCTATCCACCTGTAATGTCACGTATTACTTTACAGACATCTGTAAGACTTCACAGAATATCCCAAGATGTAAGGGACCCATGAGGATCACCGAGTCCAACTCTTGGCTCCACACATGCGTACCCAAAAATTCAGACCCTATGACTAAGTGTGCAGCCCAAACGCTTCTTGAACTCCAGCAGGCTTGGTACCATGACTACATCCCCAGGGAGTCTGCCTGACCCCCCTCTGGGTGCAGACCCTTTCCCTAACCCCCAGCCTGACCCTCCCCTGTCCCAGCTCCATGCCGTGCCCTCGGGTCCTGTCGCTGTCCCCAGAGAGCAGAGCTCAGCGCCTGCCCCTCCGCTCCCCTCGTGAGGGAGCTGCAGGCCGCCATGAGGCCTCCCCTCAGCCTGCTCTGCTCGGGGCTGAGCAAACCCAGGGACCTCAGCCGCTCCTTTGGGCACTGACAGCTTTGTGCCCTCCTTACACCGTGGCACCAGAGCTGCACACAGTGCTGGAGGACAATCCCTTCCCTCACCCAGCTGGCAGTGCTGGGCCTGATGCACCCCAGGGTGCGGTTGGCCCTCCTGGCTGCCAGGGCACGCTGCTGGCTCCTGTTCAGCTTGTGGGACCACAACCCCCAGAGCCCTTTCTGTGGGGCTGCCCTCCAGCCTCTCATCCCCAAGTCTGTACACACAGCCAGGAAATCAATCACCTCCCTAGCACAAAAGGTAACAGCGTATTGGGGAATTCCCTCACAGACACCATTCCTCTGATCACTCCTCATGCTGTCCTCCGAGCTGCTTCTAGGCCAGCTACATCCTTCCCAAGCAGAGCACCAAGTGACACCCCTCAGCACCCAGACCCGGCACCAGGGAAGCCCCTTCCCCTCTCACACCCCCTCAGGAGGACGCCCAGTGCCTGCTGCCTGCCCCCAGGAGGCTGAGGAGCCGCCTCCAGCCCTAAGATGGCACCGAGCGGCTCCCGGGCCCGCGCCCCGCTCACCTTGACGAGCCACATGCCGGTGTTGTGCTTGGCCCCGCTCAGGTCCAGCTCGCCCTTCTCGCTCATGGCTCGGCCGCCACCGGCCCCCACCGGCCCCGCTCCTGCCCCGGCTCCTCCCGCTGCCCTCCCCCGGCCCCCGAGCACCGACGGCGGCCCAAGGCGGACAAACGGCCCCGGCCGCCAGCGGAGGGGACGGGGGTGGAGGCTGCGGGAGCCCGCCCCGGGGACGCCCAAAATGGCGGCCGGGGGGGAGGGGTTAGGGGAAACACCACAGAGAGAATTCACGTCCCCGAGAGTGCTGATTAAATACAAAATAGCATCGTACTCGCATCATTTCAGGACGTGGGAGGGTGGTTGGCCCCATGGGTATTGCAGAAACACAGAATGGTTGGGGTTGGAAGGGACCTCAAAGCCCACCAGTTCCACCCCCCTGCCATGGGCAGGGACACCTCCTACCAGGCCAGGTTGCCCAAAGCCCCATCCAGCCTGGCCTTGAGCACCTCCAGGGATGGGGCAGCCACAGCTTCTCTGGGCAGCCTGTGCCAGGGCCTCACCATCCGCACAGTTAAGAATCTCCTCCTAACATCTAATCCAAATCTCCCCTCCTTTAGTTTTAATCCATTCCCCCTTGTCCTACCCCTCCACTCCCTGACAGATTCCTTCCCCAGCTTTCCTGCAGGCCCCCTTCAGGCAATATAAGGCCACTATGAAGTTTCCCCAGAGCCTTCTCCACACTGAACAACCCCAATTCTCTCATCTTGTCTTCATAGGAGAGGTGTTCTATCCCCTTGATCATCTTCATGGCCCTCCTCTGGACTTGTTCTAGTAGGTCCTTGTCCTTCTTATAATGGAGGCCCCAGAGCTGAAGGCAGCACTCCAGGGGGGGTCTCAACAAGAGCAGAGCAGAGGGGGACAATCACACCCTCCCCCTGCTGGCCACACCATTTTTGGTGCAGGCCAGGATATAGTTGGCTTTCTGGGCTGCAAGCACACACTGCTGGCTCGTGTCAAGCTTCTCAACAACCAACACCTCCTGGTCCTTCTCCTCCAAGCTGCTCTCAATCCATTCAGAGTTTCCAGGAGGATCTGTCTTGTTTCCACCCTCTGTAAGCTTCCATTTTCTACTTGTGTTTGGCCAGGAGCTCCTTGTCCATCCATGCAGGCCTCCATGCAGGCCATGTGGCATTCTTCCCCAGCTTCCTCTTTGTTGGGATGCATTGTTCCTGAGCTTGGAGGAGGTGTTCCTTGAATATTAACCAGCTTTCTTGGGTCCTTCTTCCCTCCAGGGCTTTGTCCCCATAGTGCTCTACCAAGCAGATCTCTAACTCCTCTTGGTTATTCCCCATGCTACGTGCATTACCATAGAGACATTTAAGTTGGGTCGCTGATGAAACTCAGGGATACTCCTCAGACCGCTCCTGGCAGTATCACTGGTGCCACATGGAACAATAGCAGTGGATAACAACAACCTCAAAAAACAACCAGACAGGGAATGGAAATGCTGTGCATGTTCCCTTCCATGACTTCCAGTTCCTCTGTCCAGGAGGCAGAGGGACACCAGGAGCTCTAGCCAGCAGTGAAACCAAATTCTTCCTCATAGGACTCCCCAGCATAAGGGCAGTGGGGAAGAGGGGATCAGGAATATGCTTATAGCTTTCACATGTGTATGTGTGCAGGGGAAAAGGGAAGAGGGAAATGGGTTCTCCAGGTTCCCCTTGGAAAGAAAGTGGAGAATTCAGCTTGGCTTGCAGAAAAGGGCGCTTACTCCTATTAAGGACGTGAAGCACTGGATCTGGCTGCTCCAGGGGGGACACAGTCTCAGGCACTGAACGTTTCTGGCTTTTGTGCGGCTGGTTCTGCTCTGAGAAGGGCTGCTGCACTCAGATCCCCTCTGTACAGCCCTTTGGGCCCTACTGTATGACTTGTTCGCAAGCACTGGGAGCTTTTCTCCATGTCTAGACTAAGCTTCCCCTGTTGCACTTGGAGCTCATTATTTCTTTGCTGTTCACTGTGGACGTGGAAAGCATTTGATTACCTTCAGCTCTGCAGTTTCACTTTATCCCTTTACTGAGACAGATCCCTTTGCTTTGTCGCCAGTGTACTCAGCCACCTCAGGTCATCCAATTTGGTCTCTCAGCTCCCGTTTACTAGACCTCTGGTCACGCCTATTGCTCTCTGAATTCTCTGCCGTGTGGGTTCACGTCTTCCTTGAAGTGTGGTGCACAACAGCGAAGGCCATATTCCCTCTGAGACTACACTAGCACCAAGCAAAGCATAACCCTGGCTCGTTATGCAAGGCATTGCTCACATGGCTTGAAAGCAGGCTCAGTAGGACATCTCAGGTAGGGCAGTCTGTCTTTTGAATTGCAGGCAAGCACCTAGCTAACCAAGAAGGGCAATGCTTTTTGTATGCCTGAAGGGACAGCAGCTAACATGGAAATACTCTGATAAGGATTAATTATGTTTCATATATTTGGGGTTGGTTTAGTTTTATGTTAGAACTATACGTGTCTGTAGAATTCATCTGGGAGGGTGGCTTAATCTATACAGTTAGTCAGCTGCCACTAAAAACAGATTTCATTAAGATTTCATTAACAGATTTCATTAAGACAACAGTCACTCCAGAGTGTCTCCTGCAATACAAAGATGTAATTTCTGGATGCAGCATGCCCCGCTGATGCTCTGTGCTGGTGATAGTGCAGTTTTTTTCCTGGGGGCTCTAAGGATGGCCTGGGGGCACTCCCTCTAAGGGAGGCCCAGAGGCATGGCCGGATAGCCAAGGCAATATGGGGGCAGCCGTGACCTCACTCTCTCCTCCAGTGTAACTCCACAAAACTCTGCACCCAAATCCTCTCTGGGCACTTCCCAGCTGACATATTGCTCCCTGCCCTGCTGTAAGGCAGCTTGGGGATGGGTCTGGCACAAATGAGGAGCTCAGCAATATCATTTTCCTCTAGAACAGGCAGCAAGTTAGCGACAAAGTTGTCTCCCTGCCTCCTGTTTCAGTTCTGTTGGTATGCTCAGGTCACACCCACCACCACTTAAAAACCAGATAGAGGAGGGAAGGAATTTTTCTGGCCCATGTAAGATGGCCAGCAGTGTGTTGTTATGGCTGGGTTGCTCTTGTCAATGCCACATCCCTTCCCTAGGGCTGGTAATTGCAGGTGAAAAGTGGCATGCAAAAGCAAAGGCAGCATGAGGAGCTGGCTTGTGACTTGTTGGAGAAGGCTCTGTTCAGGGGTGCCCAGCGCCAGGCCAGGGGCAGTGGGCACCAAGGGGCAGGCAGGAGGCTCCCTCAGAGCACCAGGCAATCTCCCAGACCCTATTCTCTCTTTCCCCTCCCCCGGCCGCCATTTTGGGCGTCCCCGGGGCGGGAGCTCGGAGCCTCCAGCCCCGTGTCCGCCATCGGCCGGGGCCGTGCCATGGGGCGAGAGGGGCGAGAGCTGGACCTGAGCGGGGCCAGGCACAGCACCGGTGTGTGGCTCGGCAAGGTGAGCGCTTTATTTGACAGCGGGGGGGTTGTAACAGCAGCCAGGGGTTTCCTATAAGCTCGGGGTTTTGCGTGCTGAGCCGCCTTTTCTTTCCGGGACAGCTCCTTTCCCAGCCGGCAGGGAAGTTACAGGCACCAGGCTGTGCCTTGTTATGTGCGGGCATCCTTTTTCTTAGCTCTGTGTGCCGTTCTTGTAGAAAAGCTGTTGTTCCGTGTTACCTTTTCCAGACCTGACAAAGCAAGCATTCCCAATTTAAGAGCAGCTTGAGTGGCAATTTGTGGCTTTTCAAAAGTATTTGAATCGTTCCAGTGTAAAATATAAACATAGATGAACAGATTTCCTTCCCCTTTAGAAGGGATGTTGTTGTTTATCGATGTTATGCAGAAGTCCAGTACTTGTAAATTTTCGAGAAGTATTTATGCATGAAGGTGAAGAGTAAAGGTGATCTTAAAATGTGTATGTGAGCCATCAGGAGGATGCCGCAACACCCATCTTCTTGCTTGCCTCAGTAAGGACTTGGTGCCCAACACCATGAAAGCGTCCTTTGCATCTGTGAAATCCCAGGTGTATTAAAGGAGAGCTTAATTCATGGTAAGCTAGAGCTTTTCTTGAACCCCCCCTCTTGGTTTGGGGGGTTCACCGCTGCCCTTGCCATGGCCTGAGCTCATGTTCGTGCTTGTGGCTGGATTTTGATTTCCCCCTCTCAGGTCCTGGTCATAACATTGCTACAGCGGGGCTGCACTGGTCAGGTTGTCCTTCAACTCAGAGGCCATAATGAGAGTAATTCAGTTCACATCACGTTACGTTTGATTGCCCAAAAGCTCAGAGAGTGGAGATCATCCTAAGTCCAGCCTCTGCCTGATGTATTGTGAGGATTCTGTCACCTGGATATTTCGGCAGGTGATAATTGTTTGGGTTTTCATAAGCTTTGAGGAATATGATGGCAGATTATTAAAGAGCTCTTTCCAGTACAGCAGGCACAGTTTGTAGTCTGTTTTGAGCTGTGCTCACCATTGGAAATAAATTCTCACCTTTGTGTGTTCCTGGAGGTAGCTTAATTATCACACTACTTGCTGAGTTGCTGTCCAAAAGTGAATCGGTGACGTTAAAAGGCATCACAAAACCTTTCTTCTCTTCCCTCCTCCAAGGGAAAGCAAACTGAAGTTGACAGCAGTTTGCTGATGCTGTGCCTTAAAGGGCAGTGAGAGACCAGAAGGAGCAAATTTGGCCTTGGTGTTGGAGAAAGAGCAGCGTGCGTTTGGCCTCAGCTTCCTAAAGCAGGGCCCCTGGTACCATTCTGAGGGATCTGTATCACCTGCAGAGGGCTGGCAGATGGCAAGTGGCACCTCAGAGAAACCCACAACCTTCTTGAGCAGCACCTCGTAAGCAAGCTTTTGACAATTAATTTATATTTGAACTGCTATTCTGTTTATTTCTAAGATACTGAAAATGTTTGGGTTTAACCCCCAGACACTACAGGACATACGAGGAAGGAATGGGACAAGGGCTGCTCTGAAAGTTCAATTTTGATTTGTATCTGTGATGTGTGTCATTCACCAGCCTCCTACAGTGAGAGTTGTCATAATCTATCATGAAGAATGATTGTCTGACACTTCTAAGATACACATCATCTTGTATCTCCAAATAACGATTAAGCAATTTATCATCATGACAGATCTCTTGAGGTAGGGATGTCAAAACTGGTCTGCTCCTGTATTTTACAAACAACAGAAAAGCCTTTTTTTCCCTGAACAGATCAAGTATCAGCTTTGCTGCAGACAACTTAGTTTATGATACTGTTGTTTCCTCTTCTTGATAATGTATTATTTTATTTTTCTAACCTTTGACTATGATGATTAATTTTGTATTTTGTTTTAATCTTATTTCACTATTTTGTATTTCAGTACACCTTTAGAGACAGCATATTCCCTGCTGACTCTTGACTTCGTATTGATTTCCCCTTCAAACATGGGGCTGTATTTTTTAATGTTTAATTGCATCTCATTTGCAGCAGGTGATAATGGAGTGAATTGAACTTGAGACTAACAAGAAGGGAAATGAGACATGGTTCCTCAATTAAAACCCAGCATGGAGTGTCTTTCATCCTTAACTACTTTACAACACAATTTATTATGAAAGCTTTATATCTCTGTAGTTTTCCGTTTGTTTGTATACAGAGAGGGAACTGTTTTATTAGCTTGGCTTTTCAAGGTAGTTATTCCCCTTCTCCACCAGCTCCTTCTTTAGAAAATAGAGGAAATGCAGGGTCCACAGTCTCTAAAAGTGCTATTGCAGTGGTAGTTAGCTAGGGAAAATTTGGCTTTGTAAATCCTTTGGAGAAAGCTTACAGGAGAAATCGGTGTTAGCTACTCGCCTTGGTCGTGTTCATAAATGCCTGGTTATTTCTTCCATCCTCGGCCTTTCAGAACCTTTTGGTGCAGCTGGTCATAAAGGCATTTGAATTTTTTAATGCCTCTTCTTGCACCTTGGGGTCCATACGTGGCTGTGTCTCTTGCTACCTGCAGGCTTGCCTTCTCTGCTCTTTTCACAGCTGCTGACTGCTGCAGGCAGATGGAGCTGACTGGCTTGGCTAGCTCGGAGCAGTGTCATCACAGCACAGCAGGGTAGCAAAAGGTGCCCACAGGAGTGATTTCACACCTGCTATCCTCTGACTTCCTTAGCTCAAAGCCCTCAACAGCAGTGAGGTGCTGTCCGTGAGCAGCCATAAGCATTAAGCTTGAACTAAAACTTCTTTGCTGCCACCTCGTGTTCCCAAGTAAAGCTCTGTGCATCCAGAGCGTCCAGCCTTGTTAGCATCCTGCTCCTGTTGCTCTATCACCCACCCTCAGGCTGCATCATTTCACTTTTGTAGATGTCAGCTCCTTAGCTTTGCTTCCAAGGCACTGCAGCATCGCCCCTTTCTGCCTTTTGTCTGGTTCTGCCTCTCCCCAGATCTGTGCTGCTTTCAGCTCACAGGCACCCATGAGCTTTTTGTATAACCCCTGGCATCCCCAGAGATTCTTCACATCCAGTCCTGTTCAAAGTCAGCTCTTTCAGCAGCCCTCCAAATAATGTCACTGTTCACAAAGCAATGTCAACAGCGATTTAAGAAGCAAATGACAACAGCAAGCGATTAGACTGTAATTAGACTCTAGATGCCACTCTAATTCTTAATCTTCCTAGCAGCACTTCCTAGAGTATCCGTATCCAAGTGCTAGACCAGGTCTGACATGGAACTGAAATCTGGGTTTGTGTTATCTGACAGGCAGGGGCGTTAGGCTGATCTGCTCCTCTAGACAAAATCATTCTAATCCTGTGAGGTTGTACTGGGTCTGGCTGGAATGTTAACTTTCCACAGAAGCTATACTGTTTCTTCAGATTCTTAACAGTGTGACTGTTTTATTTTTGAAAGGTAACAAGTGGCAGTGAGGAAGAAGACAACATTATAGGCCCAAAGCCTGCCAAAGGACCAGTGGAGTCTGATGTGACTAAAGAATTTGAACACAGAGCTCAGAGAATGAAGGAAAAACTTACTTCAGCAGACAGTGTAAGTTGGGTTTTTTCACTCATAATATTTTGTTGCTGGAGTGTGTTTGTGTTTTTCTTTGCCTGCCTGAGTCTGCTTGAGCCCTGTCACTGTTGTGTTCGTGATACTAAGTGTTAAGACAAAAAAAAAATGTTCCTGATTCCTGCTGGAAGCTGAAAGATGCAGACAGTAGGTTTTGCTTATCTGCTTGTGTTTTTTACACTCACTTTCTTGCCAAGCCAGTTCCCAGGCAATCATGGATGACAGAACTTCCACCTGGATTGAAAAGCTTTGGGTTTGGCCCAAGAACAGTCAGGAGAGGAGCTGATGACAAATCAGGCATTGGATCTGTTTGGACAGATACTCCAGCTGACAGAGAGAGAAAAGCCAAGGTGAGTATTTATTCATTTGTACATTTATTTGTATATATGTGAAATATATGGTCGCTTTATATGTCCAAATATATTCATGTGTATTTATATTCATATAAATACACATTTATGTATATGCAAATACTGCCCTCAAGTCTATATGCAGTTATTACATATGTTGCTGGTACTCTGTGAAAACAAAGCTGAGCTGTTCAAAGAAAAAAGTTCTTTTTGTTTTTTTCTGCAATGAGTTACCAAAACTTAGTAATGGAGATGCAAATGTGAAGGAGAGGAAATAACCCCTTTAAGTAATGTTGGTATTTATTTGCTCCCTCACTCTTCTGCAGTAGTCAGTTATCAAATTTCCAATGCATGTGTCCAATTTCTTCTTCCATCAAGCTGAGCAAAAGCTATCTTGTGGCCTCTGCCCTTCAGATTTAAGTAAAATAAATACAGAACGTCTGAAATAAAAAGAAATCTGATAACCAGAGCGTGTAATTTGCTTCTGCTCATCAGGAAAGAGAAGAGGCAAAAAAGTCAAGCATTTAACAGTGTGATTGAGAGAACTGTTTTATTTTTAGAAGGTAACAGATAGTGAGGAAGAAGACCACCATTATCTATGGATAATGAAGAAACTGTGTTACCTGGAAGAGACAAGAGACTTGCTGAGCAGGTGACTCCCTACAATGTAAGTGCAATAGCAGCATGCTTCCTCTTGGTGCGTTTCCTTCCAGTCTTCACTGTGCTCTTGTTCTTGTTGCTAGCACTGAGGCTTTCCATGGTGATGCCACTATGGTCTTCCCTTTTCGACCCCAAACCTATTGTTTAAGTCATTAGGACATTTGCCATTGACTTCAAGATTTCATTTTTAAGCTGCTGCTGGAAACACTATGATAGTCTGTGGCTTGGTGTGTAGCATCTCAGTTTATGTCTGTATATTATTTAAATTACCCTTGCATCAGGACTTGTTTGCTGGGAGTAGATAACTTCGACTCAAATATTATCCCAAGTATCCCAAGGAAAAAAAAATAATAAAGGTTGAACCATTAGGATGACATACACAGTAACTCAAAAGGAGCTTCATGGGCTAAGCAGATCAGTGCTGTCATCAACCACCTCACTATAATAGCATTATTACATGAAGTTTTTCTCAATCTCTGCAGAAGCATGTAATTTTCACAAACAGATTAGTAAAAACTTAATTCCACATCAAATTCCCTCTTACTTTCCTGGCTACCAACCCTGTATATGGAGCATTGCCTGCCTTACAGCTGCTCTAACCTGTTCTTCCCTGGGTTTTATGGCCTGAAGCCTTAAGGAAGGAAGTCAGGTTTCTTGAGAGTGTAATTAGTTTGAGAATTGCAGCCTTGGCTTATATTAAAAGCTTGGAGTTTATCTGGCAGTTTTAATAATTTATTTGTAGTTCATTAAATCACATCTCTCTTGACTTCGAGGCTTACAGATCCAGAGCTACTGGCATACTGTTTACATTTCTTCTGTATTTTCTGCCTCTACTGTTATGAAGAAAGTAGAATAATTTATGTAAAGCTATGAGCTTCATTCTGTACAAAACAAACTTTCCAGTTTGTGTTGTTTTTATTTTAATTAAGCTTTTTTCACTCTCTTCTTTCCTTTTTCTTTCTTCATTGACTGTAGTCAAGGACACTTTCCTAAGATGGAAGCTTTAACTCTTGTAATAGTTTCTCAGAGTTACATAGCTAGTGCTGATACATTCTCTAGCGCAATCCTGTCAGTGTTGATTCAGTTACACCGTGTGTTAGTATTGTCCATTTTCTGTTTTCCATGAGGAACCTTTCTTCTGTCATACATGAATTCTTACTGTGTGTGAGGAACTAAGGGTTTGTGCAGAGGACAAAGGGAAAATGAACCTTCCAAATAAAGATGTTGTGTTCATGAGAAAATAGAGCTGCTTGTTTTATACTCTCTCTGAGAGAATGGATTTAGTAGTAGTGGTTGGAAAGTCTGAGGACTTGGCTACATATGGGTACATAAACACACTTTGAACAAAGCAGGGGCCACATAGTCTTGTGAGAGCACCGAAAGGTTTCGGCTGGAAATGAGGAGACATTTCTGCTCAGAAAGAGCAGTCAGGCACTGGGACGGGTTGCCCAGGGAGGTGGTGGAGTCACCGTCCCTGGGGGTGTTCAAGGAGAGGTTGGACGTGGTGCTTGGGGACATGGTTTGGTGGGTGACAGTGGTGGTAGGGGGATGGTTGGACCAGGTGATCTTGGAAGTCTCTTCCAACCTTAATGGTTCTGTGATTCTATACTCTTTATCAAACACAACTGAAGTCCCTGACTTTGCAAAATACATGTTAGCTTAAGCCTGTGACTGTGCCCTGCTACAGGGCTTGTAGCAGGTGACTCAAACACCGAGAATTTAAGAGCGTGAGGGTGAGAACGGAAGAATATCTAGCTTGTTCCTGCTCCTATCAGTGACCAAAACCAGATGGTTAGGGAAAGTGTACAAGAAACTGGGCATGAATTTTAAATCTTTGTCTTGAAATGTTGCCTCTGATTTTGCTAATTATGGCAGAACATCTTATATCTCTTCTGCGTTGTTTTATAATTTACCTTCACTGGATGTGGAGATTCAAGCACGTTGTGGGTATTCTGAACATCAGTCACAGTGAGTTATGGGTGTTGTACTAAGCATAGCCAAGACTGATTACCTGTGCTTTCTGCACTCTGCGTGTTAAATTGACCATTCTGATATCCAGTTCCTCAGCTTTCTTCTTTCTTGGGAATTCCTAGACTTGCTAATTCCTGGCCAGTCTTTCCACTTGGAAAGGCTGCATTGTTAATATCTTGTAATGCGTTTTTCCCTCCTCTTTCTTCCCATTTTTACAGGAGTCCAAGAGATCAGAATCTCTCCTGGACGTACATCAGAAAAAGCTGAAGAGCAAAGCATCAGAAGAGCAAACCTCAGGAGAGAAGGCCGTTTGACCGAGAGCAGGATCTCAAAGTTGATCAATCTGATGAAGCACAAAAAAAGAAGCCCTTGTATTTGTATCTCTTGACTTTTCTTATTCGATATGAGTATTGTGAAATCAAAATTTTTTAATAAGATAAAAGTATGAACCTTTTTGGAAGACAATTAAAATTTCAATGCTTACTTTTAAAAGTATTTTTCTGTAAATATTTATATGCAAAATAAATATTCTGATGTTTAATACTCTACTGTGGAGAATCGTGTATTAAAGCTAAACTGATAGAGGAAAGTGCTGTGTGGTGGTTTTTTTTTCTTTTTTTTTTAGACGGGGACACCTTTTACATCCCCCCAGCTCTTGTGTTGTGGAGATGGTGTGTACAGCTCCCCACAACCACCACTCACACACACAAAGTTATTTCTGTATAGTAGCAGGAAGAGCTAATGGTAGCAGAAGAAGCAACAAAGCCTCAAGATTTGCACATTTCTTTATAAAATGCTGGTATAGATGAAGGGGTAAATAATCCAAATTTCAATTTGCAGGGCTTACCATCTCTTTTAGGCAGATACAATGTGAAAATTAACCAAACTAAAGCTTATTTTGTCAGCTACTTTGCAGAGCCCAACAGCTCCTTGGTATCAAAAAGGACATAATTTTGATATTTTAAAAATGCACATTTGTGCTTAGAATGTTTTAACTCTTACATTGGAGGCTGATAAACTGATTTGTGTTACCTATTCAAAACAAACTTGTTTTGTGGTCTCTTTTTCCTGTCTGGAGTTACGTTCAGGATTTTTTTTGTCGCTTAGGATATCTAAATGTGAATGCCCAAATTTATGTGTGAGGCCCCTAGGACCTTGTTTGGAAGCATGGCCCATTTTGCATGTGAAATACCCGGTGGGTTACTGTGATTTGAAGACAAGCAGCCAGCACAGCTCAGCTGGGGTTGTGTGGGCAGCTGCAGCACGAGCAGGGTGAACACCACAGGGCTAGCTTGGGTGTCCTGGTTTGCAAAGAACGATCCCCATGGAAAGCAGGAACATGTACACAACTGAGGGCAGCTTGTATTGAGATCTTGTAGCTGTTAGGCTCTTCCTTTTCATTCTCATTCCCTCATCCAAATGCAGGAGCAGTCACCAGGTGTTGCAGATGGCCAAATCTTGCAGTCCAGCTGCATTCCTGCTCCCCCCAAGTGCCCTCTGGTCCTTCTGTGAGGATGCAGTGAGTGCAAGGCTGTGAGCTCTTGACTCTTGCTCCAGAGGAGAGCTGCCAGGGGAGCCCTGACATCAACTTCATGGTTAGTGTGGTGCTCATCACATTGCAGTCACTGCCCCTCGCTCCATGGGGTGCACAGCTCTGATCAGCAAAGCCTCGATGTGAGTCAGGAACGTGTTTTCTCTCATCTGCTTCATCTTTTCTGCTCTTGCTGCTGTTTCGAAGCAGCCTCTCGGAGGCTTGATGAAATCTGCGTTGCGAGTTAGGGGCAAATTGGAACTGTTGAGAGTTCAAATGAAGCTTTTCATTACCTTGTGTAAATTGAGCGAGCTCCTGAGTTGTGTTAATACACAAACTAATCTCTTCTCACCAAAGCCAAGCTGTTGCCGAGAACAGTCATTTAAATAAACAGCGACTCAGTAAATTACAAGCTCTGTAAGCTTTTGTGCGAAGAGATGAGCTGTCCTCTACAATTTGGCCAAGCAGAAATGTTAGGGGGTGATTTTTTCAAGATTCTCTTGAAAAAAAAAAAAAAAAAAAAGAATTTATTTAATGGAAGGCTCTTGCTATAATTAGTATGTAATGATTCTGATAAGCAGCTCCCCACACCTGTTTAATGGGCTGCCAGCCTGCCCAGTGTCTGCTTTGCTTAGGGCACACCAAGACACACCAGTTTGTAGCAGGATGTCAGGAAGATTTTCCCGGATGTGAAAAGCCTGTTAGAAAATATCTTAAAGCATTTGCTTAAAAAAAAAATAATAATCTGAGAGTAAGGTTCCCTCCTTCTGAGGTGTCAAACGGGTGCGGAAGGCAATTCGTGGTGAAGGCAGTGAAAAGGAGGCTGGCAGGTGGTGAGGAAATGCTGCAGTGGGTGTCTAAGGGGATTTTTGAAAGAATATTATACGCTAATTAAAACAAACAAAAGAAAAAAAAAAAAGCCTTCTGAGTCTGCCTTGTTACCAAGGAAAAATTAAAGGCAGAAAAGACATTTTAAGAAAACTGATTTTTTTTTCACATCTATCTTCAGGGCATATTCCATATTGAGCTACCATAACGCTTGATCCAGGAAAATTGTGATAGATTAGCAATACTCTAGCCTGAGAAAAAAATCTGCTTTCCTAATTTGAACACCTGTTTCTGGGGAGTTAATGCGTATTAAATAAACCCACAGCCTCATTTGGAAGAACAGTCTAAGGCATTTCTTCCTCTCTCCTTTCTCCAGCTTTGTCTGGGGGTAGCACGGTGTACCTGCACAGCTAGAAAAGTGTGTGCATTTCAGCTAACATATGGAAAGCAGCTGGAAAAGGGGCGTTATGTGGTGTCTCTCAGCCAGCAGCTTTGGGTTTTTCTCAGCTGCTTGTTAACAAAGACAGCGTCTCGTTAGCTGAAGTCAGCAAGGAAGGAAAAAGACGGCCCCAGTTGACTCGTTCCTGCATGACACATGGTCCCCATGCTTCTGGCTCTGTCTGCAGAATGGGAGGTGAGAACTGAGCAAAAAAAATCAGGCAAACGTGGCATTTCTGTTGTCTTTAATCCCAACGTGATGACCGCTGTGTTGCCCATGCAGAGCTGGTCCTTCACAGCAGCAGCACTTGTGCATCCCTGCAGCAGCCGAGAGTCTTTCCTCCATCAGCCCATCCTCCTTCCTTGTCTTCATACCAGTAACAAATCCCATTGCTCTTGAAATTATACCGATTTTGAATCAGTGTGGCAAATCTAGCCTTAAAAAAAAATAAATCTCTCTTTTTAAGTGGGAACTTAAGGTCTCTAGGAGACAGCAGCTCAGACTGTTTATCACTTTGGCAGGAGCAGCTGCAGCTGTGACTTCTTCCAAACAAGCAATCCAAACATAAATATGCAAAAGAAATTCTCATCATCAGATTATTTTATTTTTTTAAAGAAGTGTCTTGCCCAGAGTTCCAGCAGTTTAATGTTGCCCTTGCCTGCTCCACTTCCCAGGAGTTCAACCACTGTTGCTTGCACGTCTCCACCTACCAGGACCTCGATGACTTCCTGGCCTTGGGGCAAGTTACGTATTCTCTTTGTCCTTCCTTGACTTTTATGATGTACGAAACCTTATGAAAGCCTCATGGGGAGATGGCCACCTTCCTTAGCCCAAGCAGCAGCCCCTTTCTCAGCAGGATGATCTCTGTGTCAGCTGTGCCCCTCTTTTAAGGAAAAAATTGCAAAATTCACATTAGGAGATGCTGGAGACATAAATGTGTAGTACCATAAGGTCTTCCACGAAATATTACTGGGAGGAGAAGATGCTGGTGTTTCCTGTTCATGTAGATTAAAGATCTATCAGAAGATTGCACTGTTAAAGCCACAATGGCTGTGCACGTGTTTGGGTCACCAGATTTCAATCCCATTAGATGCATCTCTGCATGGCTTTCATTCCCACCACCGGTGACATATTTTGATTAGTGTTTTCCAGAGGTCACCCCCTGGAAGAGGCAAATGGCCAAAACCAACTGGGAATACTAAAAGAGCTTGCCACAGATCCTGGAAACCTGTGATTATATGCATGGATCTCAGTTTTCCTTTTAGAAAGTGCTGTAGTGGGTAGCTGGGCACATCCAAACGGCAGTAGTTGTAGCCTTGAAAGCACTGCATTTATTTGTTATTGGGGCTTACGCTTGGAAATTGAAGGAAAGTACACAGTGCTTTCCTCCAGCAGTCCCCCAGGCTGAGCCACGGTTATGCTTTGCATGGTGCTAGTGCAGTCTCAGAGGGAATATGGCCTTCGCTGTTGTGCACCACACTTCAAGGAAGATGTGAACCCACACGGCAGAGAATGCAGAGAGCAATAGGCGTGACCAGAGGTCTAGAAAACAGGAGCTGAGAGACCAAATTGGATGACCTGAGGTGGCTGAGTACACTGGCGACAAAGCAAAGGGATCTGTCTCAGTAAAGGGATAAAGTGAAACTGCAGAGCTGAAGGTAATAAAATGCTTTCCACGTCCACAGTGAACAGCAGAGAAATAATGAGCTCCAAGTGCAACAGGGGAAGCTTAGTCTAGACGTTCAGAAAAGCTCCTGGTGCTGGGGAACGAGTCCAAAGGGCCGTACAGAGCAGAACCAGCCGCGCAAAAGCCAGAAACGTTCAGTGCCTGAAATGTTCAGTGCCTGAGACTGTGTCCTCTTCTGGGACAGCCTGGTCCAGTAATTTCTCACCTCAGAAAAGGTGACTTTTTAGAATCACCTATTGATAACGTCTCTCCTGATGGCTTTTCAAACATCTTGTCATCCACCTGTGGTGGTTTCATCCCCAGGAGGAGTGGCTGATTGAGCAGAGGGCCGTGCTGCCATCCTGAGGGACATCAACAGGCCGACAGGGTGCATACACGCTGTACAGTACTAGTTATGGGTATTTCCATTACAGGCACGCTGAAGTACCCTGCTTACCACCAGACACCATGTCCCAAGGGTCGAGACCAGGCCCTGTGCTTTGCCACCTTCTGCAGCCACCAGGACCAGGCCTATCCTGGGCTCCGAGGAGCCCCAAAAATTTGGGGCCTGCTAAAGGGATTTGGGCCTTTCCTTTAATTTGCGGGAGCTGGGACTTTGGGGCAGGCTCCCCTTCTCCCACCAAAGACAACCCCATCAATGTTGAATGCCCCAAAGACCCGCAAAAAAAAAAACAAAGATGGAAAGGCCAGTCCCCCACAGAAAGCCCAACCTCAAAAAGGCTGGTCCTCCTCCAAGGATCCTAAGCCATCCCAACTCCCCAAAAAAGGGGACCCAGAAGACCCAATCCCCCAAATTCTGGCCCCTTAAAAAGTCCCTCAAATAACCCCAATGCCTCAAAAAGCTAGTCCCCCTATAAAGATCTCCTTGAAATTCACAGTGCCCAAATGGCTGGTTCACCCCCCAAAAAAGAAAAAAAATCACAAGGCCAATATGACAATCCCAACCCTCCACACCCCAAAAACGCTAGTCCCTTATAAACTGTCCTAAATAAAACACTGTGCACCTGGGGCTGAACAGCAGAGGTCACAGCAGGGATCTTCACCTTCAGGAGCATTTCAAGAGCTGAAAAAGAACCCCATCCCATTTGGCTTGGTCTAGAAAAG